AACTTACTATGATTCAGCCTAAGATTTTACAACTTTACAGTGGGTTTTAAGTATATTTTCAACTTAGGGTGGATTTTTCAGGAAGTAATTATAAGTTGAGGGGCATCTTTATTGTCCTATGTATCTGTCTCAGGTTCACTGACTTCATTTTCCTATACAATCCTTTAATAAAAATTTTAGTAGGAAAAATCCCTTTCGTTTCTTTTTTGGATCTTCTGTTTCACTGCTGAGACTTCTGTTCAGGTTTCAAGATTGATTGTCCTCACTTCTTGACCATGTTATCATAGCAGCTTTAGAGTCTTCATCTGATAATCGAACCATCTGAGTCACCGCATTGTTGATCTGTTCACTGTCTTTTCCCTTGTGAGTAGTTGAGATTTTCCTGGTTCTTTGTGTGACGAGTAGCATTAAATCCAACACATTTTCAGTAATACTTTCTGTGACCTTTTTATCCTGTTTATAACCTGAATTGAACATTCTTTATTTTTTTTTAAGTTGAACAGAACTTGATCTAGTTAGATTCACGCTACACCTCCTGTGTGCCTTCCTCTTAGTCTTCTAACTGGGAAACTAAAATGTACCTGCCTACTCTGCTATCCTCCAGGGAGCCAGGGGCATCAATTCTCAGTCATTAAATAAGGGGAGAATAAAGAAAAACAAGAAGAATTTCAAATCCACTCACTCATTGGAGCACAATTCATCTTGTCATAAAGGATTCCCTCTGAAGTTTCTGTTCTACTTCTACTCACATCACCCGCTGCCACAGGACAGGATTGCATCTTAGGGGTTTATGCTTGTTTGGGCACTGGGGCAGGAGAGGAAATAAACCCACCAAAGAAACCAGGGTTATGACCTACTCTTTTAGTCATATCTCCTACTCCATGCCCTTTTTGTTCCTTGGACAAGAGAAGATCTCTCTTGGAGATCTTTCTGTTCATACCCTGTTTACACTTTTGGGGCTCGAGCTGTTTTTGAGTAGGGGCCAAGTCTAGGCTGGATATGTGATTGGGGTGGGGGCAGGAAAATGAGGATTGAATTGTGGTTTATTTGCTACTTTCTACCTGCTACCATTTTCTTTTCAGAGTTCTTAGATAGCTGATTTGTGCATTCTGACCAGGGTTTTTGAGCAAATTCAGTATAGACCAAGGGATAGTGAGATTACTGCATCTGAATTAGAAATTGTTAAAATGTTCTGGGTATTTAAAATTGTGTTTCATTCATTTACGAAATTAAAAAAATTCCTTATAGTTGTAGATGGACAGTGTGCCTTTATTTTATTTTATTTTTTATGTGGTGCTAAGGATTGAACCCAGTGCCTCATACATGCTAGGCAAGCGCTCTGCCACTGAGCTATAGCCCCAGTTCTCATTTACCAAATTTTGATTAATTAATGTTATAGCTTACAGAAGTATAAAATAATTGAATAGGATTATAACATCCCAGGATTTGAAATTACCTTGTAAGTCATTTAGGCTGTTTACCTTTCACAAAACTCCTTTCACCTCAAATAATAAATAGTTAATGATATTTAAGATTAAATATTTATATACCAGTGTATTAAACTGCTTGTCTACATTAAGTTATTTATTTGCACATAATCATATTGGAACAATATAATTCTTTGATCTCCTTTGAACTGATGCAGAAATAAAATTCTAGAAAGCCTTTCCTCTAAAAATAAGGTCTTTGAACTAGTCACATTGCCATTACTTTGGGAGCCTATAAGGAATGTAGAATCTTGGGTTTTGATCCAGACTTCGCATTTGAACAAGATCTCCCAGGTGATTCACTTGAAGGTTAATTTTTTTTCCAAATCACTGGTTATAAATAACTTGATCATCATGATCATGCAAGTAAGTTTAGGCAGTGTGGTCAGACCATCAGGGTACAGAGCTATGGATCCTCAAATTGTGAACCATCAGGGATGTGGCTTGTATTTTTTAAACTTTACAGTTTAAAAACAGTTTTGTAGCAAATGAGCACACCTAGATATTAGATTCAAACTTCTCTTTTAGTTTACAATCTTTATCTTTCATAATATTGGGCAATATACCATGTGTACAGTGGTATTCAGAGCTGTTTCACTTGTGTGCCCTTTTTTATTGGTTCATTCATTGAAGTCAACGTACATTTATTTATAATGCATTCTGTATATCACAAGTCTTTTCTGCCTTTTGTGTCTGTGATGATAGGTAACCGTTAATCTGTTCCAGATGCAGCACTTGCAGGCTGCCTCCCTTGCAAACAGTTTAGACTTTCCCTGTGATAGTGCCAAACTTTATGATCCAGGCCAAGAGTACAGTGAATTTGTGAAGGCTACAAAGTCAACTGAAGAAGAAAAAGTTGATGGGTAAGAATTAATATATACATGAATTTCTAGAAATAAAACATTTGCTAAGTCCCTATGTGGTATAAAGAGGTATATTTTCTAATATTGATAGAATTAACTTTAAAAATTACTGAAAAATTTTATTTGTATTATTTTGTGGTTTCTTAGCAAGTCCATTTAATGAATAGATGTAACTCACTTGAGAGTAAAGCTTTCCATTTTGATACTGACCTCACTTCTGTGAGACTTAAAAATCCTTTGGGCATGGTAAATGACAATCATACACATTTTGAATGTCCACAAAATTTAACCTACATTTTCTACTGAGATGATACTACAAAAGTTTAATCATAACATGAATTACTGACTGTTGCTATTTCTATCAATGTTTTAACTGTGAAAATAAAAGTTTTATCCATATCTCCTTAAAGAAGCTGAACCATGTAACAGTTTGTTCATTATATTTAGTTAATTATTCTACATTTATTAAATCAACAAATTTTTCTGACTATAGTACAAAGTAGATTTATTGTTAGTGCTGAGCTTTATTTGCTTTTTCTTAGGAATGTAAATAAACCATTAACAAATAGTTCCCAGATGTCCAGATGTGGCCCTTCTCACTCTTTAAAGGATGTTGTGTGCCTTCCTGACAGTTGTAATAAAATTGAAGAGGACAGATTGAGTTTCCATCCAGACTTTGCATTTGAACAAGATCTCCCAGGTGATTCACTTGAAGGTTAATTTTTTT